GAGGGGGAGGAGTATTGAATTAGATTGTTGATAGCGTCCCTCTGAGGGCTGCTATTAAGAGCAGTCTATTCTATACTTCTCTGCTGCAGAAGACCGGCTGATATTCCTGTTACCACAGCATGTTGTAAATGTATGAGATTTTGCTCATTCCGGCTTGGAAATAAAAATAGGGAAAGGAGAGCAACTTGATTCAGAAGCTACTAGAAGAGCGTGCAGAGTTCTACAGCAGTTTATATTTGTTCTTACATTTTTCTTTCTTCTGACTGGAAAACAGAGGGACTGGCATTTTGAAACGGGCTTTTCCCATAATGGCATTCTTGTATTGTGAGGCCAGTGCTTGCACAGGAGAAAAGCAGACTGCTGAATTTAGTCACTGATCTCTATTAGCTGTGGCCTAAGGCTATGCTGAGGTTTATATCCCATTTGTATTGTTGCAGCTCAAAAGAAGAATGTTCAGAGGATGACAAGTGTATTCTGAGTAGGTATGTTGTTTCATTTTCATATGAAACCCATCTATTTTTTTCCTGCTACTATTGGTCAGAAATCAGGTTAATAGGTGCAGAATATGGTACAGTGCTGCAGAATCCCTACTAAGGTAAAACAATGGTGTTGCAAGCTTTAAAAAAAAACCTTCTTGCTTTTTTAAAAATAAAGCTGCATTGTGTAGTATGCACAGTGCAGACAGACACACACACACACACACACACACACACACACACACACTCTGCAGTCAGCGCTTTCCTAACGAGGTGGCACTATTGTTGAGTTGGAATGCTAGGATTATCATATTGCTTTAGGGGACAGGACGATTTAAAGGAGGTACCTTGCAGTCCTATTTTACAGATTGGAAGCATCGGTTTAAGGGCACTGGCAGAATCCTTTGCTTGTTCTCCGCAGCAGCCACTGCTGTGTCAGTACAGTGTGGAATGGAAGTCCTGGTTGGTAGTCTGTTATGGAAACGCTGTTTACTGTTATTGTAGTACCGTGGTGACAACATGCCATTGAAATGGAAAACGAGCTCTCCTGCTATCTGGAAATTCCCAGTTCCTGTGCTTAAAACATCCAGGTCAACTCCACTTTCTCCAGCATACATGTAAGTGAGAGAAAATAGGATCTTAAAGTGGGATTTCATTCATGGCTCTACTTTGTGGCAAAATGGGGGGAACCCCAAATAGCAACATCCCCAAACCCACAAGATTAAAAAACCCAAGCTTGCTTACATTTAAAGACATTGGCATGCCCACATTTTACCATTGTTTTGTTTTCCTAGAGTTCGTGTTCACTTAGAGTGCTTAATGCTAATCTGATTACTGACATAAAAGCATATAGGTATAACTGAGTGGTTGCAGAAGTAAACTTTCATGTTTAACTGGGATTTTAAAATTTTTGTATATCTATAACACTTATGATTATAGCTTTTGTAATGGCTTAAAATCGGCTGATGATGGTGTATTAAATATGGAAATGCCTTCTATACCATTCTTTGATGAATTTGAAACAGTTAACATATTGATCAGGAAATGCATTTTAATCAAGACTTGTATACTTTAGTGTGTATAAATATTAATGTTTTATATTGCATCTTTCTCAGTTTTATTCAAGTTCAAAAGTAAATTTGAATTTGTGCAAATTATACTTCTGTGAGCAGTTATTATATTCAGGAAATTGAAAAGATTATTCTAAAAAGACTGTTTTAGAAATCTATTTTAAGCAAATATATACCGAGTTGCATTGGGGAGAGTATCTAGAATTTTTTGAGAATTTAAAAAATCTTTCAAAAATTCATTATGTGTAGCTTTAAAAACAAAATCCAGGTGATATAATACAATATTTTTTAAGTATTGCTCATGATCTTTTTTTTTCTTTTTTTGGTGGAGGGAATGAAAGAAAGCTCGACCTTTTTAAAAGAAAATTACTGCAAAAAAAAAGGATTTTTGAGAAGAATGATTTAATTATTTTAAAACCATTTCTCAGAAAAGAGGGAAATTCTTTCAGCTTTAGGTTAATTATGTGTTTAGAACTCTGCTGAGTTGCCATTTTTAACATAATTTTGTTTTACATGAGATTCAGATGCACAGTGATATCTGTTTCTTTGAAAGGCTTTCAGCTGCTGAGGAAGTATGCTTTCAGCCCCAAACAAGTGATTCCCTAGAAAGCACTGAAAAGTGAGGACATTTAAGAGTTATTTTCAGATTATTTTTTTATGTTCCATCCTTTTTGTACTTGAGGTTATTTTATCTGTTTGAGTGTTAAATTCTTTTTCTTATGAAGTAAAACATTAAGACATATTTGTGAAAAAAATCAGCTGTATTTGTTTTTTTTAAAGCTGTACTTGTCAAAAGCACAAATAACTGAGGTGACAAGTTAATGGAGGTGGACAAGTTAATGGGACTCTTTCAAATTATTTGAGAAAATCAGATGCGCTTGCTGACTGTATGAATCTTAGCTGGTGAGAAATGACTAAAGATTTATCAAAAGCAACTTTTTTATCATAAACAAAACAAAAACTAACATAAACCTGTAGGGTACAATTAATAATGGTTATTAATGTTTCTTGTATTCTTACTGTATTTCACTGCTCAAAAATCTAAATTGCACCTCCTTTTGCTGCTGACTTGTTAATTTTTAGGAATGGTTGAATATGCCCGAATCTTACCAATTCACACTAGCTGCAAGCTTATATATAACTTAAAAAACATTTTTAATGAATCATTTTCTTCTTTTTAAGTATTTATTTCTTTGTCCTGATGATGCATAAATGAACTGATTTAGAAAGTAAAAGCTTGAAAATATGAGATTTTGCAGTCTTGAGTATAGATTGTTGGTAGTACACAGAGATGGAATGGAAAAATATGGTTGAACAGCTAATGTAAGATAGACTAGTTTGATTTATAACAGTGTATAATATTATTGATCTCAATTTACTTTTCTTTATTAAGATACAGAGAAGAAAATTTTAAATAGATTAATAGACTTGCTTGACAAATTTAAGTCAGGTTTTGAAAGAAATTGTTTAGTTTTGGTCTGTTTTAAAATCACAGTTCATTACCTCACTTGTCCAGAAATGATAACATCACATTTAACATGTTCTATTCAGTACTTTTTATATTCTGCACCCTTTCTATATACAAACTTATCCATAAGTTTAGCATAAAATTTCACACAAAATTATAAAGACTAAGTCATATTACTGGATCAGGTTACATACTTGCTTTCACAATTGTTCAGCTGGCGAACAGGTTAAATCTTTTTTTTTTCTAAGCTTTCATTGAAATGTAATCAATTCTGACTTGATAAATTTTGGTCTATTAGAAATTTGCCTATAAAATCCTGAGTACAAAATTATTCACAGTTGATATAAAATCATTTTTATATATGCTTGCATAGCATCAATATGGGTTTGTAATGTTTTATTATTATTTATTGTGATTTGTCAAATACATATCACATGATTTCATTGAAGGCTTGGGTGCTTTCTGAAAGACTGAAATTTCAATATGAAGTATCCTTAGTTGTACTAAAAGGGTGTTGTAGGAATTGAACATGTATGAAAAAAATGTAAAGTTTTCTGATGGTCTCTTTGTAAACCCATCGTAGGTGCTGATTAGCTCTAGCTTTTCACTGACGCTATAGATAGGCAGCGCTGTACTTGCAAAAGCTACAATGCAGAAATGCCCCCCCACTTGCTGCCAGGGATTGAACTCAGGATCTTGAGCTTGTGAGGCAGGCGGTGGCACCACTGAGCTAAATCGCCGGCCCCAGAGCATTTTATTTACTACAAACATTGAAGAAAAAATCCACTTTATTTTTTTCTCTCAAGAGGTTAAAATCCAAGTTTGTTTTTAGAACTGGAATGAAATGTCTCAAAGTTTTTAAGATTTCAAGATGATAGAGGGTGCACCTAGAAAGTACCAATAAACTCAATGAGGAAAAAAAAGATGATAGAGGGTATTTATGGCACTATTAAGTGAAATTGTATTTACATAGCATAAGGCACTTTTTAAATTATGTTCTAGTGTGACATGGGAAAAGTGGAGTATCTTAAAGATAAAAGATTTAGGAGAATAATAGTTGGCCCCTGAATAGATTGGTGACAAGATACCTCGTCTTTATTGGGTAGATGTAGTCTTGCTTCAGCTTCAGGTTTTAAAACTTGCAGAATGGTGTGCCATCCATGTGATTTCTGAAGGGATTATGTTCATAGAAATGATTCCTGGTGACATGTTTGTGTTACAGTGTGCTCAACCAGAAGGTTGAAGTTCAGCCACAGCCTGGTGGCATATCTCCTGGTCAGTGTAAACTACATTAGTAAAGACTCTGCTCTTGACAGGTGCAAACACTATAAATTACGCTGTCATTTTGTCTAAGTTAATAAAACTGAAAGGGCAGTCGCATCTAAGTGGTTTTCTAGTGTTTTGGTATTCATTGTTTTAAAACAGCAAAGGGTTCCTTCGGTTCAATGTTGTAGGGTTAATACATTGTTGGATTCTGGGGAAACACCGGAATAGACAGGACTAGCACTAGCAATCCTTTTATCTTTTCGTCAAAGCAGCAAGTTTTGACAGTAATAGTATGAAACAAAGGAGAAAGACAGGTACGAAATACTCAGTGCAGTATAAGTGAATTCTAGCATTGACATAAACTGGAATGTTTTCCTTAGAATTTTACCTTTCTCAAACTAAGAGACAGTGAGTGTTGGAGAAGTAGATTTGTCCTTCTCTAGCCTCTGTACTTCTATTTAGTTAATTTCCTGTTTATAATTCTTTAAATATGTAAAATATACTTATAGCAAATGACAGTAGCACAGTTTGTTATAGCGATTCTTTTCTATTATTTCATCAATAAAATATAGTCCCTAGATGTGCCAAGGAAAGACTGTACATACTGTATAAATTGTCTATTTGGGGATGATTCCAAAAATAGACATAATAAAATATGTTTTCTAATTTTGACGTATCTTTCTCCTAATTATGTCTTTTTTCTAAATTTATTAAATCAAGACTTGTGAGAATTTTTTTCTTATATAGAAAGTACTTTTGAAACTGATAATGTCATATAAGAAAAGAACATTTTGTCTCTCTTTCATAATTATTATTTACCTAAGTGTTTACTTGTATATCTGCCTAATTTGTTTTTATGTGTGTGCACAGTGTAACACAATTATGGCAAGAAATAACACAGCTAATGCCTAAGAGCAATTTTGTATTAGTCTGTAACTTTTATGGCATGTTCTTTGGAAATTTGCATTGTCTGAACTTGAAGAAGGGCAAGCTTGTCATTTATTACTGGAAAAATCATAGCATTTAAAGTGACTTTATAGGTCATTTGGAGATTTCACACCTCCTTTAATTAATGCAGGAATGCGTTCTTTGATACTTCTCAAAGGTGGCAGTTCATGTCATCACTGAACACTGTCAGTGATGAAAGCTCACTATCTCACCAAGGCAGCACCTTTCATTCATGGACAGCTCTTTATACTGAGCAAAGTCCATTCATCCTTTCTTTTATTTCCTGATCTCCATGTGGCCTTATGAAGCTATACAGAAAAAATATATATTCTCTAGCATGATCAGGCTCGAAAATCTCTTATGTCATGGTTTCAAGGCCCTTCACTCTCCTTGTTCTCACCTGGATAATTGTTCCATGTTATTCTTTAAATGATTTTTTTTAATGAGTCATCATTATCTTGCTGAGTGTAAGCTGAAAGACAATCTCTGCTTGTAGACACTACTTAAAGTTTTTGGTTTTTGACTTCTTCCTCCATCTTCAAGCCAGCAACAGCAGGTTTAATCCTTTTCACATTGCCCTCGAATCCACTCTTCTACATTTAAGGACTCATATGATTAGATTGGGCCACCTGGATAATATAAGACACTGTCCCCACATAAAAGTAAAATTTAACCACGGTCACACTTGCAAAGTCCTCTTTGCATTGTAGCAACATATGCATATGTTCCTGGGTTAAGGATATGCAGATCTTTAGGAGGCCATTATTCTAACATGCCCATGTCACACACAATCATGCTGGGTTTATAGAAGTATAGTAAGAAATTATTTCATTAATTCATGTGTTTCTAAAATTTTTGCTTACTT